TCCAGTTCCAGACCAGTAACAGACCATCAGGCTCCAGTTCCAGACCAGTAACAGACCATCAGGCTCCAGCATGTTGACCATTCCTCCTTCTGTCCCCTCAGTCCATCTGTATGACTGCTCAGCCGGCCAATCAGATTGCTCGCAGTGCAAGGCAGTGCCTAAGGAATACGGCTGTGTTTGGTGTCCAGGAAGTCCCGCCCCAAGCTGTGTGTACAGCCAATCATGCTCTAGCTCACCCTCAGACACCTGTCCCTCTCCTCAGATCACACAGGTGAGCTCTGCCGTCCCATTGACAGGCTGCACATGTCCTGTTACCGTGGAAACATGTAACATGTCTGTCTCCAGGTGTTCCCTGTGTCCGGGCCTTTGGAGGGTGGAATCCTGGTGACAATCACAGGGTCCAACCTGGGCACCCGGTATCAGGACGTGTTGGGCGGAGTTAAGGTGGCAGACGTCCCGTGTTTGGCACAACCCGAAGGATACCGGATCTCCACCAGGTAACCTTTCCTGTACTCAACCTCTGATTGGTCTGATTGTTGAAATAACACCTCATCCAATCAAAGGTCAATGTTTTAGGTTGAGTCATTTTCCCGTCTGTACCTTCCTATGCACCCCTTCACCTGTGCTGACCCGTTCACCTGTCTTAGGGTTGTGTGTGAGCTGCAGCGCAGTGGGAAGAATAGGGTTGGGCCTGTTCAGGTTACCGTGGGAACAACTTCACCCGGCCGGTCGGCGCAGATGTTCACCTATCAGGTAAGACTTCACCTCCAGAGGCTGAACCCGATCCGTCCGGAGCCCAGTTACTCAGGAAAAGACTACGTCCAACTCAGCGAACTTTCTGCCAACTACAGTTCTGACCCGCTCAGCTAGTCTGACCCATTTAAAAAAGGTTCTGCTGTTTTTGTTCCCCCAACAAGGACCCTCAGCTCACCAGTCTGGTTCCAGATAAAGGTCCAGTTTCTGGAGGAACCAAGCTGACCATCAAGGGAAGACAGCTGATGACAGGACAGAAGTCAGACCTGACCGCTTTTCTGGGTCAACAGCCTTGTTACATGTAAGTCCCGGTCCGGTTCTATTGCATCTTATAGTACTGGTTCTAATGCCACCGACAATGCCACCGTTATTAGGCTGTAATGACAGGACTGACCCAGGTCTTCTAGTCCTGATAGCACTGACCCGGTCTTTTTGGTCCTGATAGCACTGACCCGGTCTTTTTGGTCCTGATAGAACTGACTCAGGTCTTCTAGTCCTGATAGCACTGACCCAGGTCTTTTTGGTCCTGATAGAACTGACCCAGGTCTTCTAGTCCTGATAGCACTGACCCAGGTCTTCTGGTCCTGATAGCACTGACCCGGTCTTTTTGGTCCTGATAGCACTGACCAGGTTCTTCTGGTCATGATAGCACTGACCCGGTCTTTTTGGTCCTGATAGCACTGACCCAGGTCTTCTGGTCCTGATAGCACTGACCCGGTCTTTTTGGTCCTGATAGCACTGACCAGGTTCTTCTGGTCATGATAGCACTGACCCGGTCTTTCTGGTCATGATAGCACTAACCCGGATGTTCTGGTCCTGATAGCACTGACCCGGTTGTTCTGGTCCTGATAGCACTGACCCGGTCTTCCTAGTCCTGATAGCACTGACCCGGTTGCTCTGGTCCTGATAGCACTGACCCGGTTCTTCTAGTCCTGATAGCACTGACCCAGGTCTTCTGATCCTGATAGCACTGACCCGGTTCTTCTAGTCCTGCACTGACCCAGGTCTTCTGATCCTGATAGCACTGACCTGGTTCTGCTGTTGCCGGGGAAACAGGCCCGCGCTGCAGCTTGTATACAGTTCAGGTTGAATTGTCCCTCCCTCTTAAATGTCTTCTTGTCTCCTGTGTCCTCCCAGTTTGAATGAGGTGACTGATTCCCATTTTGTGTGCAAGACCGGTTCCAGTAATCAGACTGGTGCAGTTCCAGTTCAGGTTTTCTTCGGTAAGGCTGATCGGACTGGTCCCGACCTTACCTTCCGTTACCTGGACGACCCGGTCATTACCAAGGCTACACCTGCAGAGAGCTTCTATGCGTAAGGACCAACCTCTGAGCGTAGACATCCTTTGGCCTTATAGCCATGTTTCCTAATAAGGGGTTGACTTCCCGTCCTCAGAGGGGGGCGTGTCATTAAGGTGACCGGCAGGAACCTGGACGTGGTGCAGGAACCAGCCATATCAGTGTGGGTGGAGCCTCTGGAGGTTCAGAGGGTTAAGCGAAGAAGACGATTTGCTCTCTTGACCGCCAAGCAGCAACTGGTTTTTAATGGCACCATGGCAACGGTGAGATGATTCGACCAATCAGAACCATGTCCCTGACTTACCTGTTCTAACCTGTGGGCTCCCCTGTCCACCTCTCAGGTGACTGAGCGCTGCTCGGTCCTGTCCTCCTCAGAGATCACATGCAGGACGCCGGCAGTGAGCCCAGAGCTCAGAGTGAAAGGGGTCTGGTTTCAGCTGGACAACGTCAGGGTCCACTTCAACAGCATTGAGGTACCTCCATGTTTACCCACCCTCTCCACCAACAGTGTGAAGCCCTGGACAGAAAGCAGCCTCTTTGTCTCTAACCTGTCCCCGTCCATCTGTCTCTGTCCACCAGGGTAAGACATTCAGATATCTTCCGAACCCTCAACTCTTCCCTCTGAACCGAGAGGCTCCGGATGCTCCGTACCGCTTCAAACCTGGTGGAGTGATCGCCGTAGAGGTACAGTAACACTCTTAGCCTGGTCCGATGGACACAGCAGGTGGTCATGTGTTATGATGTCATGGCATCCCTCAGGGTCAGGACCTGACCAAAGCTATGACCAAGGATGAAGTCCAGGCTCGCCTTGGAGAACAAGGCTGTGAGGTGAAAACTCTGGACAGGACTCACCTGTACTGCGAACCGCCTGAGACTCAGCCTCTGAGCGTGGACGGCAGCAACGAGCTTCCCAGTCTGAAGGTAATGAAAGCAAAGATCAACATCTATAAAGAAAACTAAGAACCTCTTGTGTATTTGTATTAAAGTGAATTGCTGGATAATCATTTGTTTTTCCATGTGTTCATGTCACCCACAAATATGCATCTAATTCAATGCAGATTTGAGTCAAATAGTGGAAAAAAAGCCTTCCTACCCTCATATCTACCGACTGTTTCTCAGGTGTTTATGGGGAACCTGAAGGTGGACCTGGGACTGGTTCAGTACGACAGTGACTCGTTACTATCCCCCATCCCATTGGCAGCTCAAATCGGTCTTGGCGCTGGAGCTGCTGTCATCATTCTGTCGGTGCTGGTTGTCATTCTTATGTACAGGTAATCAACTGTCTGTTCCAGGGTTCTGCAGAACCAGGAGAACTGTTCGGTTACTGATTAGAGTTCCACTTGTTTCTATGCAGGAGGAAAAGTAAACAGGCACTCAGAGATTATAAGAAAGTTCTGCTGCAGCTGGAAACTCTGGAGATCAATGTGGGAGACCAATGCCGTAAAGAGTTCACAGGTAAGCAGGTGATGGAGACTCTGACCCACCTGCTGTTCTCCTGAACGTCTCATCTCACTGTCCTTCTCCACATCCTGTAGACCTCATGACGGAAATGATGGACCTTAGCAGTGATGTGGGAGGACCTGGTCTCCCTCTGCTGGACTACAAGACGTATGCAGATAGGATCTTTTTTCCTGGACAGCAGACGGCGCTGCTGAGCCACCAACTTGACCTGCCGGAGTCCAGAAGACAGACTGTAGAGCAGGGCCTTCAGCAGCTCAACAACCTGCTCAACAACAGACTCTTCCTTACCAGGGTGGGTTCTGTTCAGGTGCTGTCTGGGACCAGGTTTGGCAGCAGGTAAATCTAACACTGTAGTTCTGTTCCTTCCAGTTCATTCACACCCTGGAAGCCCAGCAGGGGTTCTCTCAGAGGGACCGCGGCTACGTGGCCAGTCTGCTCACCATAGCTCTCCATGACAAGCTGGAGTACTTCACTGAAGTCATGAAGACTTTGCTGCAGGACCTGGTGCAGCAGTATGTGGCCAAAAATCCCAAACTCATGCTGCGCCGGTACGTAAAACAAACACACCTTCAGATGAACGGTGAATGTTTTCTCGATTAAACCAGACCTGCTGTCCAAGGGAGACCTGAGCAGATGTCCTGGGTTTAGGGACATGGTATCCATGACAACCCAGAGTTTGAATCTTTTTGGTTTTTGGAGGGGAGAGGCCCGATCAGAACCAGATGACCTGATTAACCCCAGAGCGTTCGTCCTGAACCGGGACTAAACTGTGTCTCTTGCTGTCTTTCAGGACAGAGACAGTTGTTGAGAAGATGTTGACCAACTGGATGTCCATCTGTCTCTATTCCTTCCTGAAGGTAACGCTATTTGTTCTGTCTATACCCGTCTGCCCCCTCACTCCTTTTCTCTCCCCTACCTGTCTGTCTTTCACTGTCTCTCCTCCAGTCTCACCTATACCTGTCTGTCTTTCACTGTCTCTCCCCCGTCTCACCTTCACCTGTCTGTCTTCCACTGTCTCTCTCTCTGTCTCACCTATACCTGTCTGTCCTTCACTGTCTCTCCTCCTGTCTCACCTATACTTGTCTGTCTTTCACTGTCTCTCCCCCGTCTCACCTTCACCTGTCTGTCTTCCAATGTCTCTCCCTCTGTCTCACCTATACCTGTCTGTCCTTCACTGTCTCTCCTCCTGTCCCTCCTATACCTGTCTGTCTTTCACTGTCTCTCCCCCTGTCTTACCTTCACCTGTCTGTCTGCCAGGAGGTGGCAGGGGAGCCTCTCTACATGCTCTATAGAGCCATAAAGTATCAGGTGGACAAAGGGCCGGTGGATGCTGTGACTGGAAAGGCCAAACGGACCCTTAATGACAGCCACCTACTGCGGGAGGACATCGATTACTCTGCCATGGTAACCATAGCAACACCACTTCTTCCTATGTTCCTCATCAGTTTGGCCTGTCACCCATCTGTCTCACCTCATTCTCAGACTCTGAACGTCCTGGTGAAGAACGGAGTTGAGGTCCAGCCATGTCCTGTTAAAGTACTTGATACCGACACCATCACACAGGTGCGTAGATGCCCCACCAGCTGTTTTTCACCCCGTGGTCTTATTCACACCTGTCAATGAATGTCTGGGTGCAGGTAAAAGATAAAATCCTGGATCAGGTCTACAGAGGAGCTCCGTTCTCTCAGCGACCAGCAGCTGACAGTCTGGACCTGGGTAGGCATCTGTCCATCTCCCCCGAATGTCTCACCAGTCTCTGTCTTCAGACAGACAGCTTGTTTTCACCTGCATACATTTGCCTGCAGAGTGGCGTTCTGGTCAGGCCGGCCACCTGACTCTTTCTGATGATGATGTCACAGCAGTCGTTCATGGTCGCTGGAAACGGCTCAACACGTTGCAGCACTACAAGGTGGGAAACAATCAATAGCTGCATGTCTGCATCTGCCCTACGCTGCAGCTCAATCTGGTCTCATGTTCTCTGTTCTTCAGGTTCCGGATGGAGCCACAGTCGCTCTGATCCCTCGATTTCACAGTTCAGGAATCAACCAGGTGTTTCAGACCGGAGAAAGTAAGAACCCAAACATCTTACAAAGAAGAATCCCACAAAACAGGAAGAATCAGCTGATATCAGCCTAAATCAAAGAACAGGAGAACTATAGAGACCGATCTGGACCAAAGACCAGGGAACTACAGAGACCGATCTGGACCAAAGAACAGGGAGAACTATAGAGAACGATCTGGACCAAAGACCAGGGAACTACAGAGAACTATCTGGACCAAAGAACAGGGAGAACTATAGAGAACGATCTGGACCAAAGACCAGGGAGAACTATAGAGAACGACCTGGACCAAAGACCAGGGAGAACTATAGAGAACCATCTGGACCAAAGAACAGGGGAACTATAGAGAACTATCTGGAATAAAGAACTGGGAGAACTATAGAGAACAATCTGGACCAAAGAACAGGGAGAACCAGTTTAGTCATTTGTTGTTTTAGCTGTTGAGTTGACTTTAAATCTCTCTTGTCGCCTTAGAGGCACCAATGCTGGAGGGCGAGGAAGAGGAGGGTCTGCGTCTGTGGCACCTGGTCAAGAGCAGCGAAGATCCAGAAATGCCAAAACACCGGAAGAGCAGCATGAGGGAACGGGAGAGAGCCAAGGCCATTCCTGAGATCTATCTGACCAGACTGCTGTCCATGAAGGTACCCCTGACCTTCAGCCCCACCCCCACCTCACACACACAGGACTTTACCAGAGCCTCTCATTAACTGTCCTTTTGTCTCTGTAGGGGACACTGCAGAAGTTTGTGGACGACGTCTTCGTGGCCATCCTAAGCACTAAGCGTCCTCCACCCATTGCTGTCAGGTTTTTCTTTGATTTTCTTGACGACATGGCTGAGAAGCATGCAATAGACGATCCAGAGACTGTCCACATCTGGAAGACAAACAGGTGAGACCCACCTCACTCACCTGAGGCTCCCCAAACCCTTGCCTTCATCCAACTTTCTGTGTCCAATGCGCTCTGCCTTGCTTGTCCTTGATGGGCTTCTTTGACCCTTGTTTCCCTGACCTGTCTTTCTGACCCTTTTTGTCCCCAGTCTCCCTCTAAGGTTTTGGGTCAACATTCTGAAGAACCCACAGTTTGTTCTGGATGTCCAAGTAACTGACAGCATCGACGCCGTGCTCTCTGTGATCGCTCAGACCTTCATCGACTCATGCACCACCTCGGAACATAAAGTGGGACGGGTAGGACCTGTCTCTCTCTATACTTCACCTACTGGTCTGGGTTCTCTGGTCATTTCACACCTGTATCTTTTTGTCCAATCAGGACTCCCCAGTCAACAAGCTGCTCTATGCCAGAGAAATACCTCGGTACAAACAACTGGTGGAGAGGTGAGACGGCTTCCTGTCATTGGTTCTGGTGCAGTTTATTCTTCAGTGTTACCAAAGTGTTACCACCTGCTGGCTAATCCGGACCCAACCTGATTTAAAACATTTATAAATTACCGCATGTTGTCTGACACAGTGTCTAACGTCACTTGTGCCGCTTCTGTTACCCTGAAATCCCTCATGCTCCATCCTCCGCTCCGCCCCGCAGCATCCAGACCTCCTGCTCAAAGCAAAGCCTACAGCTTCCGCTGTTCCTCCCGTATTGCTGAGCTCCGACTTATCCTCGGAGCTCGAGGAGAGCATGCACAATATTATTATTAAATTCGTAGGAGCAAAACATGCAGAAATGAACACTTAATTTACTATGACATATTAAAGAAATCCCCATCAGCATCCAGCAGATGTGGAGTTTCTAATGGAGATGAGCTCCTTGATATGTGCTTGAGAATGGCTTAGTCTCCATTTAAACCCAGGTTTAAAGCCTTGCAGGGCAGCCT